CGACTTCAAAAAAAGGAGGAGGTTCTCATTTCGACTGTTTCTTTTGTGTATATATTACGCGATGACACCGGCATTTGTGAACCGATTTCCACGATTATTGTTTTGTTGGAAAGAGGCTACCTCAGTATTTTTCCCATTTAAATCTGAAGAAAATATTCCACCTCTCAGGGTGGCAAAGTAGAAGATGAATCCGGCTTCGCGCATTTTCCGGTACCCGATTTCAATGAAATTTGGCAAATGGATGTAATTTCACGAACTTTTCAGGTCGATTTTTTTCAAGCCGCGTCATCACCATTTAGTCTTGGAGAATTGTGAACCTTCTTCAACATGTAGGTGTAATCACGCCGTTTTTCTTCACCGAACAGCTCGTAGAAACTTTCAAATTAAAATTTCGCATATAAATTCAGAAAATCTCAGAGGTGCGAGCCCGGAGAACAAACCATTGGGCTACCACGGTTTCAAAAAAAAAATATATTACTAATAAAAAGATATAATTTACCTTGATGACTTACTGAGTGAGTCAATTTCATCGATCCTTTATCAACACTTTTTGTAATAAACATAAATTTATTTTAATATAGCCTAATCTAAGTAAAACAAATGTAAATAAAGCTAAAGTAAGCATTAAGAAGGGAATCTAAATATACATTCTTCATAGTAAAGCTATACATTTTAATATTAAAACCTGATTGCGATGCCTAAACTAAGTAAATGTGTGCCTTTGTTTTAGGCATCTTTTTGGGCAAATTTCTTTATATTACAGCTTAAAAACAGTGCTTAGTTATACATTAATCGTTACCTATATAAAAATAATTGTGAAACAACTTCCCGCACGCAATCTGTTTCATTGTAAGGTTTACTCTTAAGCCACACTTTGACGGTCTTTTTACATTGTATTTTATTCATGGCGCAACAATGCAAAGTAGAATTTAATTTAAAGTATAGGAATGTACCAAGGAAGCAAAATAATCTATGCGAGTGTGCTGTGCGGAGTTGTTTACAAGATGAAAAGTTAAAGTAACGTAATCAAATGTATAGGGTCTCCTTTTTTAAAATTATTTGTTAGATAAACAGTTGCCGAATCGAGAGGACGTGGCATGGTCGGATTGGATAATCGAAAGGACAGAAGCTGATGACTTTAAAATAGCTCTGCGCTCTTCCCGGGCTTATTACGGTGGTCTTATGTGCACCACCCGGACGGACAGAGACTCAAGGCACAGGAGTAACGTAGTTTGAGCTCCTGGCTCCCAACCTTTTGCCTGTAATTGTTATAGTAGACAATAAACGACTTATATCTTTATTGTCGTCAAAAACTATCAACCCACTAAACATTAGTTTTACTACCTCTAATTAAAAATCCAACTAGAGACGCTCTCTACGACGCCTACCATGGCAAGGTACGTTATAAGTGGTTCTTTACATTAACGGCAACTGCTAAATGAGTTGGTAATTAGACCTGTTAAGGCCATAAGAAAATGCGACAGACTACACACTATTTGTCAAACACGAATTGCGGCTGGTTTGAATGGCATTGACCGACATACCTCTTGTTAGTTTAGCATTATTGATTATTTCAAAGTGAGTTATTTTTAAAATTTTACTGTAAGTAGGTCGGAGTGACAATGAATTGTTTAAAATAGAAATTTTCGTAGTTTACTGTTTATGAAGTTCCTTAGCATGAAGCATGTGAAGTAGAGGCGGAGAAATTCATTGCACGATATTTGAACATTTGCCTTTTAGAAATTATATTGTAAAATAAGCTCATGGTCCCCTGATGCATTTATTAGGGAACATTAAAGAGAAAAATTCAGAGAAATATCTCTAATAACAATCGAATGAAAATTTTAGAAGCAGTAGAGCTCCTTGTAAAAGAGTTCGTCCAGGGACTATTGTCACCTCACCTATTTCTGCTGCCAAGCAGTAATGTCAGCATTACTGTGTTCTTATTTTGAAGGGTAAGTGTAATGGTGAAATTACAGGCACATGGGACTTGTCAACTTATGTCTAAGGGTGCTGGGCGCAGTGACAGTGCCCCTCAGATCTTTGCGATTTAAAGCTCTGAGTGGCACTGCAACTGTTACGGACAGGCGTGTAGCTTACTATCATGCGCACGACTTGTTCGTGTCATCACTTGATATTACAAAAAAAAAGTATATGATTCCTAAAAGAAGTAGGTACAGTGAAAAATCTGGCTGTTGTCATGTGTAGTTAATGAAGTCAGTGGACTAAATGGAGGCTGAAATCATACTAAAGCTCGATCTACATTGCTGCGGAACGGAACGGAAGCGTCAATTTCGCCTCGCTGCGCGAGAAGACGCGCGAGGTTTCGCGAGCTTTCTCGCGAATGCGCCTTGAGGCTGTAGTATTACGTCTACGTTGGACGTCACACTGCGCCTGCCGTCGCGTTACTTGCTGTGGATTCACCAGGCTCCGAAAATTCCCGCTAGTGCGCGAGCAGTGAATTCGCAGGAAGAAGCGCGACTTGTTTTTTTGTTACACAATTGACGTAATGTTTATTTTGCTATGTACAATTTCGTTACAAAAATTCGCTTCCATTCCCTTCCGCCGCAATGTAAATTGAGCCTTATTGATTCAATAATATTGTGATAAAATTCAGTACTTAAAATTGTTGCTACAAATGTGCTAGATAAGCTCAGTGTATTATTATGTGTTTAATGCCATTTAGTTAAGTTCCACTTGAAAAGAGATCATCGTTTTTCAACGTGTAACTCTTATTTTTGGCTCGCTGACACGAGTGTTGTAAACTGAGGCGGCGCCGGCCCCTAATTGCAAAGCTGCGCGCGTGCAACAAAAGCTACAGATTTATGAGATACATGGAATTAGCTAATGATGTTATACGTTTATAGATTGATTAGTTTATGGTTTTAAATGTACATAGTATACGAAGTGGTTTTTAACACGTGTTAAGACAAAAATATGTTGTTAAAGAAGAAACAATTATTAATAGATAGTTTGTTATTTAATTAGGTTTCCCGTAAATTTCCTGGTTGGCCAAATAACGTATCCCTATATTGTATTTACGTTGGGAATAATGGCAATTTTTTTGGCAAAGTCTATGGCCGACCAGGGCCTTAATAAGCAGATGGAACCTGTTGGTACTTCGGAAAAGAAAGAGTGTATAAAAGTAAATTTTATCAAAAATAATATCACGGGACGAACAAGTTGTGCGCCTGATGGTAAGCTACACGCCTGTCCATAACAGTTGCAGTGCCGCTCAGAGCTTTAAATAGCAAAGATCTGAGGGGCATTGCCACTGCGTCTGTCACCCTAAGACATAACGTGACAAGTACTATGTGCTGTAATTTCACCAGCACCGTTACACTTCAAAACCGGAACGCAGTAATGCTATCATTACTGCTTGACGGCAGAAATAGGTAACGTGACAGTACTTCCCTGAAGAGTTCGTTCTTTCACAAGGAGCTCTTCTGCTACTAAATTTCTTTTTAGACTCAAGTCCGTGCTCCGATCACTCGTGCTCGACTAGGCTAGGACTCGTGAGTGTTTCAGGCCACCGAGCCGTACAAAATGAGTCGAGTTTATTAATGTAGACTCCCGGACTCGAGTTTTTTACAACACTATATCGTGGGAAGAAACCTGTAATTAGTGATAATCATTTTTTGAAGATGGTTCACATCCTTTTATTCAAAGGACGTATGGACATCCCAATCCACATTGGCTTCAACCTTCTCCTTTGATGATTGCATTGGGATGTAAACGGGGTTGATGATTTCACTATATCAACGGTCTACGTATTTTCGAATAATCAAAACAATCAGTCGTTAACGTTTGCTGTAAACACTTTCCTCGACTGCGCCAGCGCCGCTCTCTTTGCTCACAACTAAATTGGCCATTGTTCTTTTATAGTCCAGTGATGAAACAATGGGTAACAGGATTTCGTTAACTAATGCAAGGGTTTGTGAAATTACTCGACTATGGTATTTAGAAAATAGGCTTAGTATATTATAATAATATTATTTGATTTCATGTACACATCGAATGCCTGATGGACGTACAATACAATAAAAACAAAATCTATCATAACTAAACTAATTTTACGAGATCTGTCCCAAAAGTATCATAAAGTAATATAGTCCTGGGTCTATTAATCATAACCCGCTTGTGGCATTTAGTAGAAGTAGAGCTTAGGAAGTACCTTACCTATTTCTGTCGCCAAGCGGTAATGTCAGCATTACTGTGTCGGTGTTGAAGGGTGCTGGTCAAATTACAGGCTCATGGAACTTGTCAACTTATGTCTGAGGGTGACGGGCGCAATGACAGTGGCCCTGAGATCTTTGCGGTTTAAAGCTCTGAGTGGCACTGCAACTGTTATGGACAGGCGTGTAGTTTACTATTAGGCGCACGACTTGTACGTCCCGTCACGTGATATTAAAAAAAAACTTCAAATTGCCGTTGGAATCTCAGTTGCCGTAGGAATGTCAGTCATAAAATAAATAATTATTTTGTTTCCAGTTGCCTGATCGACTTAAAATTTGGTAAACCATGGAAATCCGATGACATTACGATAACATTTTAACTTGTCACTGATGTTTTGTGTAATAAAGGGAATGCGCGCTCTACTTATTTTTTTTATAAGTAAGAGAAAAAGAAAGGGAGCAGGAAGGCTGTAACAAAATACAATGATATACAAAACTGATACAATAGTAGTCCCTGTTCGGGCGCCAATGTGGCCTAGACTTAGCGAAAGTAAAAGAAGGGCCACATGAATTTATTAGATGTGTAAAATGAAAGAACAAAAGGTTGAACAATAGAAAATACTCTCTGGGGTGCAAGACCTGACTGAGAAGCCCTTCCCGTAAAACCAAGAGCTTGATAGGGAGGGGAAACAAAACTTATGTAGGAAGATATGGGACTGGTATCGACGAGTGGTTAGCTTACGAACCGGGGGTTAAAATGTTATGTCCTCACTAAGCTATAAAAGCGTTTAAACAGTATCTATAAAGCATCTCTTATATTTGCAGGGGCAAATTCGCATCTGTCCGCAAGATCCGCCACCTTGTTTCCGGAGAGGAGTATGCAGCCAAATTTATCCGCAAGCGGCGTCGTGCGGCGGACACCACGCGCGAAATTCATCACGAAGTCGCTGTGCTCGCACTCTGCGCAGGCTGCAAGCGAGTCGTGAGTCTACATGAGGTTTGTATCTTTCTTTATACTAACTTCTAAATTTTTTTATGATACTTAGTAACTGGAAAAACAAGTCGTGTGCCTGCTGGTAAGCGACACGCCTGTCTATAAAGCGCGAAACACCAGTGTGTTTTCAGTAAAACGGGTGCGGGTTGGACGGGTCGGGAGTGCGGCGGGTGTAATTCCGTATATTTATATGGTCGACTTGCACCCGTTCCGCGCCCGCGCGTGGTGTTTGGTCGTCCATATAAATACACGGAATGTCACCCGCCGCACTCCCGACCCGACACGTGCTCGACCCGCACCCGCTATCAGTGTGTTTTACGCTTAACAGTTGCAGTACCGCCCAGTGCGTTAAATAACAAAAATCCAAGGGTCACTGCCCGTTACCCTGAGACATAAGTTGACAAGTCCCATGTGCCTGTAATGTCATTAGCACCCTTACCCTTCAAAACCGAAACGTATAGTAATGCTCACATTACAGCTTAGTGGCAGAAATAGATAAGGTAGCAGTTCGTCCTTGGAGAAACTCTTTTACAAGGAACTCGCTGCTTCTATCCTAAGAAATCTTTGACCCCTGAATCTGTAAAGATGTTAAGCGTAAACAGATTTTTGTGTGTGGTGGTTAAACAGCAACTTTTTATACTGTACGAAAAAACCACACTTAAAACATATATATTGATTAAAATAATTTTAATCAATAGATATCGTATAATCGTGATCATGTACCCTGTAAAGAACCCGAAACGTTTAATTTTGATTGAATAAACAAACAAAAAGTTAAAGTGTAACAATCATAAATGGCTGGTCTTGAAATCCCAATACTGCGGAGAGTGTGCGAGTTAATTGCACGATTAAATTCCGCCTTCATATTTCCATTACCAGGGGAATGGACTGGGCTTCCATCCCTATGTTGTGGATATTTCAAAGATTCGCACAAAGCCATTCGCTTCCACATTTATGTAGCAAACGGCTATTTAATGGAATTCCCTGCCTGTTGTCTTGTTTCCTGAACTGTATAAGTAGGATCTTTTCAAAGGGTGAGGGTGAATAGGCAATAGCGGGCTTTACACGGATACACTAACAGCAATCGTGCGTAATTGAGCGCGCGTGTAAAGACGTTGGAAGGAAAAGATCGCGCGATTGCGCTCCAACTCCAACACGCGCCAGTTTCACGCGGTCTATCCTGCGCTATTAGCCTTTACACGGACGCTCTTTCCGTTGTAACGAAACGAACACGAGCAATCTCGCGCGAAAGAACGTTAGCTTAAAAAAATTCACACAGGTGCAGACTTTCCAACGCGCAATCCGGTACGCTCCTGATCACACACGACAGACTGTGTAAAGGGGCTATTGTTTAAGTGTGCGATGCTTCAACGTCGACCTCATTGTCACTTTAAGGTCGAATACGTACTTATTACACGAGGGCTAATCCATCCTAATCTTTTTCCAGGTATACGAAACCCGGTCAGAAGTAGCAATAGTGCTGGAACTCTGCACTGGCGGAGAACTACAGCACGTTCTCGACGAAGAGGAGCGTCTAACTGAAGGCGAAACCCGCAGAGCTCTTCACCACGTTCTCGAGGGCTTAGCACACTTGCACGCAAGACGCGTGGCCCACCTGGACCTAAAGCCACAGAACCTGTTGCTCTCTGCTGGTGGAGAAGAGCTCCTGATCTGCGATTTTGGAATCAGCCGCGCTATACAGCCTGGTGCTCACGTGCGAGAGATTCTTGGCACCAGAGACTATGTTGGTGAGTTGGTCTGGTCATTATTTCACTTTCTTAACACGGTTTTTTTTTAGAGCATTAAAGTAGTCAATTGCGGTAATGTTATACAAAAGTTATGCAATTAATTTTCATATTTGTATTTAAATTCATTTATTCTCAGACCAAGTAGTCAATAAATATGACGTAATTTAGTAGAAACAAGGAGAACAATTGTAATAAATTAAATTACATTGTTACGTAATTTAATGTATCATTGTTATATATAAATATCCACATGAGACGTAAACGATTTTTATGAGATCTATTCAAAAGCAAATTATGATCCGATCTGTGAATCGATTCAAAGCAAAAAATCGTGCATCCATAATTGTTAGTCGTTGTGATGAATGCCATGAAACGTCAGGCTTTTGAAGTTACAAGCACAGTTTTTACAAAAGTTATTTTTATTTTAAAAACATATATTATGAAGAAAATACGAAGAAAGAAATAGTGACAAAAAAAATTACAACTATATTCCTTATTTTAAACCAAATTACAAATGACTTTATCCTAAATGGTAACCTATCACAAACTCGAATTATTTTTTTCCGAAATAACGTTCGTTCGAATTTTCATTACCCCAAAAACCGAATTATAACGGAACCGTTATTCTTTCAGGATATGTATGACGTTTATCGTAAAGTCACAATTAGGTTCGGTTATGTTAGGTTAAGTTAGGTTTAAAAGAAAAAACATTTTCCTCTCAAAATTGCTTTCGAGGTTATGAACATTCGAACAAACGTTATTTCTGGATAATGGTATTTCGGACTTCTCATAGGTAACTCCTGAAAATTCCTCTAATTACGAATTCAAAATTTTTGTTCGAAGTGACACTAATGTGGTTTAAGTGAAAGTGAAAACATAAATATTGACTCCCGCCGCTTAAAGGACTATTTAAAAAACCCAAACAAGTGAACTAAGTTATTTAAAAGAAAGGGAAGACATAATGTATTAGAACCACCATGGAAAATATTTATTGAGGATCTCGATAATTAAACGATATCACAAAGTACTTGTATCCAAGCCAAAACTCTTGAGACTTAACTGCCATTGCAACTAGATTTTAACAGAATGACAAATATTATCATATTTGCAATATAACTTCAGTGAAGTCTTCACGGAATTACAATAGTTAAAAGGGAGCGTAGGGCGCTAGTAGTGAGGGGCAACATGTTGGCTCGTAGGTTTGCTAGGTGTACTGACGACGTCAAACTTATGTTGTTCAAGGCGTATTGTCAGTCATTTTATACATGTAGCCTATGGGTCAATTACACCCAAAAAGCTCTAAGCTCCCTCCGTGTGTTGTATAATAATTTATTCAGGATGCTGTTGAAGCTGCCTTTGCTGCTGATTTTGAAGTGCATGGGGAATGTTCGCCGTGACTCGCTTAAATGGCTTTTCAGCTATCATGCGAAAAAGGGCGGCTTCTTTGTTGCGCAGGATTCGGGGCGGCGATAACAGCCTCCTGAGTATAATTGCAAACCGTGTACAGGTTGCTTCCTAGATCACTGGTCTAGGATGCACATTGGTTTTGTGGCCTATAATAATAAATTGTAAAATAAGCTATTTGTAATACTAACCCTATTTTTAAGTGTTTTGCTACTAACCCTTATGGACTTAGTCCGAAATAAAGAAATTTATTATTATTATTAATAATAATAATCAGTGGTTTCAAGAAAATGCAAGACAAAGCAGACCAGGCCCTGTTCATTTGATAAACTTCTCAAGCCCATAATCTTCCTACCAAACAGAGCATATTAACGTCGTATTATGTAATGCAAACCTACAATTAGGTGGCACGTTGGCATACGCATGCGTAATTCTTCACACTCCAACAGGAATGACATAATACCATTTCATCTTTATTTACATGTTATGTAGTAACGTAAATGGAACACGAATATGTCGAATCATAAAGATTTATGGTATATGTAACATCTATTTCGTAAATCACTAGAACAAGATGTTATTTAATCATTTTTCTACTCATGTACTTTTAATCTGGCAATTATAATTTCATAAACCATATCACAAAGGCGTTCTTTTTAGTCAAAATGAAAATTCTATTGTCTATGGTACTTGCCAAATAATTGAAATTTTTTTTAAGTATTATTTTTGTATACCATCGAGTACGTAACCAGAAATAGAGAAAAGACAGACGAAATAATGGCCATCCATCCTTGGCAACTCATCAATTAAATGGGCCTTAATATCACTTTTAAATATCAACTCTCGTTTGCGCTGAAATCACAAATTAGAAAACAGAAATAGTATAGCGCCAACAATTGACCTGTTTGTACGTCTCCGTATATTCCTAAAAACATTCTGTATTTATTGTAATAAAGATAATATCTCTAACAATGCCGTGCTGTTCTACTCGGTGGTGTGGAAAAAACAGCAAAACATCTAATTACAAAACAAACGGAATCACATTTCACCGGTAATTAAATATGTAATTTTGCAATTTTCGGCCTTTATAGCAAAGCTCAAGTTAAACTAGTCGACATGAAGTGAAACAATTGACGACACCCGTCAATTGTTTAGAATTCGGACTGGCCAATCAGAGCGCAGTTGTCACAGTAATGATTTGGCAGAAGAGTTTTCAAATAAATCAAATAACATTTCGTCTCTATTTCTGGTTATATACTCGATGCACAGAACTATAATGAGTTTCAAAAAAAGAACAGCGTATTTCTGCTAGTTAAAAAGTCACATATGATGCAACTTAAACGTTCTACTGCCTCCTGTTTGGTTAAATTGGCCTAAAGATCTTGCAACCAGGCCATTAACCTTTATAAATCTATCTCTTTGGTTTTTGTTTTTATTTGAGTCGATTGTCATGTTTTGGATTTTAAAGCAAAACATTTAAGTGTACAGTCATTGTTAAGAAATCTAAGTGAGTCACCATACTTATTACGCGTTGAACCTGAAAACCTATAACCACATGCAATAGGCACGAAAAAGACACTCGGATTGCTGACGCGCAACGCACGTCATCTTTTTTTCGGTCTTATAAGACGGACATGATTTTTTTTCTGACTGGCATAATACGAGTTCGTGTCGATACATGTGACGATTCACTAAGATGCGCTTTAATTTGTTTTAAAAGTTGACCTTTGAAACGAGGTTAAATTAATTTTCGTTTTGTTTTACAGCACCAGAAATTCTATCCTACGAGCCTCTCTCCTTGGCCGCAGACATCTGGTCGGTGGGAGTTTTGGCGTACGTTCTCCTCAGCGGTTACTCGCCTTTCGCGGGGAATACCAAACAGGAGACCTACCTGAACATCGCGCAGTGTCAACTCTCCTTCCCTAAAAATATGTTCCGTGGCGTAACGCAGCAGGCGATTGACTTTATTAAGGAGACACTTGTCGTTGACCCCAAGTGAGTATTCAATAGTTTTTTTTATATTTATGGTTCACGTTTGTCCACATTATCACCTATAGTTGTCACCAAATAAGAGGCCAAATTTGTCAGTTACAGCAGACGATAGTATGAAACTGTGAATACAATCAACGAAACAATAAACATACGTCGAATAAACATCGTCCTACACTAGTGAAACCCTTTGTCGCGGGTGCCATGGACACATAGACAACCACAAATTATACCCAATTTCACGAGAGGAATAAATGTAGACCATACAAATATTTCTCCCGGCACGGGAATCGAACCTGGGACCTCTGCGTGGCAGTCCGGCGTGGTAACCGTTCCGCCACGGAGGCAGGCAAACAATTATTAACTTATTGAGTTAAAAAAAATACATAAATTTTATTGAAACATTATATAATACTCAACTGCCGAACTGCAAAAAATATATTAAGATTAAGCTGAGAGATAAAAAATATCTACTCCATTACAGATTCTTTTCACATAAAAATAAAATAAAAATCCTTTATTTATCCTTTATTATCCATAGGATCTTATTTATGGACTAAATAAAGTCCTTCAAGTTTGACTATTTGTGTAATTGATTTGATATAAAAATTACATTAATTTATTATACATAACAATAACTTACAATTAGTTATGACATGTATGAATAATAACTCTATTAATATTATTAGAATTATACAATTTCTAGAATGTAATAAAATTAAAGATTTGCATGCAGATTTTGGTAAAGTATAAAAACTATACTTATGCACCACCTTTTGTAAACCATACTTCAGGCAAATAAATATTATTCATTCTTTTTTTTATAATATCATGTGACGGGACGAATAGGTTGTGCGCCTGGAGGTAACTACACCTGCTACGCCTGTCCATAACAGTTGCAGTGCTACTCAGAGCTTTAAATCGCAGAGATCTGAAGGGCACTACCACTGCGCTCGTCACCTTGAGATGCATTCATTCACCAATTCATTCATTCGTTGCAATTTCAGGGGCCGTCTTACAGTGGAAGAGTGCCTGGAGCACCCCTGGTTAAAAGACGTGACTGATGTACCACGCGCCATCGTGGGAGCGGGCTTTGATACAACCGAGGTAGCCAGCGACGAAGACACACAAGATACCGTCAACGGTCACGGCGAATCCAATAGACATGACCGCAATGGATATGACTGCAATGGACACAGTGATCACAATGGTCACGGTGACCATCATGGACACGGTGACCATAATGGACATAATGGGATGAACGGTTATGGAGTTAATGGACATGGAAATGGAGTTAATGGTGTTACTGAATGCAATGGAACTAATGGGGATTCTCTCGAGGAGGATAAAGGTGAGGCTATCAGTGCAACTAACAGTAGTGTAACCCACATTCCATTTTTTTTTCTACAATTTTTCCTTAAATGATACTAAAGTACGTAATTCGACTCTTCCGTAGAACAAAATCGTATGTGCAAGACTGCTTATTCTCAGGACACTGTACATTTCTATCGTTGTTCTTCGCCGTGAATATCAGATCGACTGTTGTTCGATTTTGTATTTCCGAAACGAAATAACATATACAAATTCTGAATACACCTATAGATAGATCTTAGTTTGAATAACGAGATAAGGTATTTATCCTCTTTTCGCTATACATATAATCACATCGGACTCTGTTCTTCGGATGAGTCGAATTATTCTATATTTGGATGTTATTTTTATATTTCATAAAATATATATTTTTGTATACATGAATTCTAGGGTCGGCAGACTAAAGTACATAAGTCAAAATCCAACATCATTCATTTAAATTAATATATCTACCGGCTAAACCACATAAGTCAAATTCATTTGTTACTTCATAAATTTGTAACTTTATTCCAGAGGCGTCTTTTTCAAATTTTTCATTCTCTTCACATCTTCCAACACTATAAACAACACAAAAAATGTGTAGTTATGTATTAACAAATGAAGCACTTTTTTTATTTATGTGCTTTAGTCCGCCGACCCTAGAATTAATAATTTGTGTGTATTATATTGTGCGTAGTATGTGTGCGCGTGTACAAATATAAAACAACATTGTGTACTTTAAAGTCGTATCTTTTATAAGATTAGTTACACACGGCGACGTTTATTGCGTTCGTGATACGCGCGATTGCATCGCTACACCTGCGATTTATAGGTGTGTAAAGGTAAATGATTAGCGATTGCATCGCGATTGCATCGCTGCTAAAAATCGCCATGTGTAACAGTTCTTAAAACGGAGTAAAATGTCATTTGCAGGGTTACCAGTTTTAATAAAATTTTAAACAGCCATATATTGTTGTCGACAGTTTTATCGATAGATTGTGAAATAAAATAGCATTTTGCCAAAAATGTATCATTTGTGAATGTTACGACGTTCTTTATTCCTGTTTTGACAGGTGGCCTTCTAGTAATTTTTTATTTATTTATATACAGTTTAATAAGGTCTTTGATATTGAATTAAGATGAAATACGATTTAAAAATATGTCTCCCCATTGTATTTTTATATACAAATACTTCTGAATGTAGTGTATTTATGTATGTACTTACAAAAACTGATTATTCAAATGAACCTGTTTTTTTTTTTTTTTTTTTTTTTTTGTAGACAGGGCCGAGCAATTAATAATAATAATGTTTATTTATAAATCACACCCAATAAATTGATTGCAATATTTTTATAAGTCGCAGTTATACAATCACAAGATTATCCTGCCTTCTAAATTCGGGGATCACGTATCTAGGAGGCAGAATGAAAGTTGGGCAAATAATGAGTCATGATGATTCAAATGAAACAAGTTTGGCTATTAATTGCATAAGCGTTAAACAACATTCAGTAGATGGTCGATAGAATATTTGTCGATTACAATCATTAGCTGCTTGCAATCGGGCAACACTTTTGCGCAAACAACTGCCTTTTTACTCCATCTTCCAAAAGACATTCTATACTACCATGATTTTCATATATACCTAGGATACGATTTGCTTACAATTAGTAATTTAATTTCAATTACAAACATTTTTGGCAAAATTTTACCTTCTTTCAAAATGTATCGATATAACTGTCGACAACATTACACCACTTTTTTTTTTACCACTAATTTTACGATAACTGGCAACCCTGCCAATGTCATTTTACCCCGTCTTCAAAAAAGACAGATAGTGGAGTATTTTTACCAAAAAAAAAACAAATTCAAATCATGGTAGTAAAACATTATGACATTCAATGAATAAATAAGTACGTAACGTACGTAAGTACTTATTTATTCATAGAAGTTGCATTTTTATCTCGAATATGGAATCGACGTTGCTGATGTGACAACGTCCATCACCGTTAAATATATCTTGTTTGATTCTGCCTTTAATGGTATGTTTTTTATAATACTAAGTGACCGGATGAACAATTCGTGCGCCTGGTGGTAAACGACGCGCCTGTCCTGGCAGTGTTCCTCAGAGCTTTAAATCACATAGATCTGAGGAACACTGCCACTGCCTGAGACGTAAATTGACAAGTCTCATGTGCCTGTAATTTCACCAGCACCTAGGGGTACCCCTACCCTTTGTGAGAATTCACATTATTGCTTTGCGGCAGAAATAGGTAAGGTGGCAGTACTTTCCTGGACAAACTCTTTCACAAGGAGCTCTACTGCTACTAAATGGGTGGATGTCATTTTAACATTAACTGCCCCCGTGGCCGAACGGTTACCATCCTGGACTGCCACGCAGAGGTCCCGGGTCGGGAGAAATATTTGTATGGCCTACATTTATTCCTCCCGTGAGTTTGGGTGTAATTTGTGGTAATCTACCCATGTGTGTGTCCATGGCAACCGCGATACAGGGTTTCCCTTGTCCGGGGCTATGAGTGTGTGAGTTATTATTATTTTACATGGTCAATTTCATGTATTACAGAGTCTACCGTTGCCTGGTCGTCTTCTCCCACCTGCTGTGAACTACGCGAAGAGTGCGAGGAACGCGACAACCCTTTGAAGCATGCGCATGCGCGTGACGTGTCGCCACCCTTCCCTGATGCACCCTCTACACCTAAGGTATGTGAATTTATCATGGTATAATTAATGTATAGTGGCAGACAACCACACCAAGTACAAGTGCCTCTATCACGAGTTTACCGTGACAGTGGTCGCTAGCGACCGCGTAAATTACTTCACAGTTTTATGTGGCAAACAAAGCTTGGCAGTGGGTTAAAACCCAATAAACCCGTCCGGGTTTTAATCGGAATTTTGCCAAAGCACCGGGTTTTAATCCATTGCTGCCCAAAATCATTGGCTGGAACGACGAATACGTAATTTGGTATAATTCCATGTTTGTTATAAAGTTGTAAAAAAATCTTTTTAAGAGAGGCAATTTCTCAGAATACTTGCTTTACAATCCTGTGGATTCTCACTACCAAGGATGGATTTTTACGAAATTCGATTGAAGTGCGATCTAACGATTTTTTGTATCGATTTTCAAGCAAACCAATTCAATAGAAAAGGCGAATCGAATCGCCTACATTAGAAAGCAATAAATATTTTGTAATATTGAATTTGAACAAAACTCGGTTTGTAATAAATATTTAGTAGTAAATAGTTCTTGCCCTCGATTTTGAGTATTAATCCGAATTAAATCTGGTATTACCGGATTGGCAAATTATACAGCGCTTACAAGAAGAAACAACATTTTGTATACAAACATTTCACGCAATCACTAGCGATAAAAGTCACCGTAATCTCATGGTAAAGGCACTGGTCTCAAACTAGTCAATTCCCGGTGTTATAAACACTGGAGTAACGAAATTCACACCTTGCACTATCCCTAGAATTTAGAAACGCTTGTTACCTAAATTGTTTCTACCGGGTGTTGAATTTTACTCGGTCCAAAAATGTTTTTATACGTTGCAAGAGTTTCGCAAGAGCACAGACCATAAATAATATTAATAAATAAGACGACCTATATTTAAAAAACGATGTAATAGGTATTAGAAGAATGCATAATTAATATTTTTAATTTTGATACTATCCTAACTTATATTGATATAATTAAATTTTTATTGAATTGTTATTCAATTATTTTTTGTGAAATTACTCCACTAGTTTGTTATAATTATTAATACAAAGATCGAACACTCAGAAAAAATTCCTTCGATCCGGTCGGATTCGAACCGACGTCTTCTTGCATACCGTG